CGGAACGAACCAATATGAAAGTACTTGATGTCTTGAGAGCCACTATCAATCCCAACAGTGAAACTTGGGATGAAGGTATACCTATTGCAAGTGTGCTATAAATTCTGCTTACAAGTTTTCGATAGGTGACACTCTTCCACATTAATGCATGTACGTGTAGATAAACGTTTGCCCCTTATGAGTTTGTTATATTCTAATCCGAAACCCAATTACAACCCTGATGATTTCATAGCAACTCGTACCAGCTTAGCTCAAGTGTTTTTTTTTTAGAAGAATCCGTGAAACACTTTCAGAAATCAACAGCAGAATTTACAAGAGACGCAAACACTCGAGCAGAAGCCACAAAATCCAAAGTGGATTTTGAGAGTTTTATGCTGATTAACTTAATAACACAACGTCTGCAATCCAAGCATGATCAAAAGTTTTGTTGGTCCTTATCGAGTAGTTGAACATTATCATCTGTTAATAAGTCTAAAGGTTAGAGAAGATTAGTACTGTCAGTATAAAGAATTCGCAATTTTAGATCCATAGGAAGTTAGTAATGTGATGATAAATGATGTACCCAACCCAGACTAATGTGACAGACTCTGACAATCCGCCTGATCCGAACTCTCTTCCTCTGATACTAGTCAGACGATCAACCCGCTGAATGTCGTTATTCCCTACGTACACCGACAGGTATTGAGAAATCCTCAAGTATCATTTTGAAAACTTCCAATTCAGATTTTGGCCTCAAATACAGCAATGATTAGCCATGCTACAGGAGTTTTATCCTCCCAGAGATGACACACATCTGCATATAACAATCGCACCTAGCAGAGTTGGGGTTAAATGTAAAATCAACCTGTATAGAATGAATAATTACAGATCAACTTATCAGTATTCAAGAATTTGTTTTTGTGTTCACGTTATCTCCGAATTCTGAGAGTTAAAACAGTCTAGATTTGAGTGCACCGAATCTGCCTTTCTGTTAAACACTCTTCTTTGTATATATTCCTCCCTCAGAATCCGTAGATCACATGAATACACGGATCGAGCGATCAAATTTTTTTATTATCTCACTTCTATGGTTGGGGGTAATCTCAACGTTGAGTTTCATTTGATGAGTTGTGCTATATTAACCTTGGATTGCATTACATTTAAGTTACGTAAGCTTCCAGTCCAATGTTCATACTATGGTATGTTATAATGTTAATTGCTGTGTACTTTGAAGTTTATAGAATCAGCCCAAGGAGCCGTATAACCTGCCATCTCTAGTTTTGTATTAGTTGTTATTCGGGACGACATACGTAGCGTTTCCGAGCTCTCAGTACGTATAACCATTTACCAGTAACCAGTGTACCAATAGATAACTCACTACCAACCGCTCTGCCTGAGTCACTGACTGTATTCATATTGTGCTGACCACAGAAAAAAAACAGTATTCAAGACCCCCCTCACATATGGTACTATGGGCGGCCAGTTAGTCATCCGAAGTGAGCAAGGAGATAGGTACGGCTGTTTGGGCGTCTAACCCACATTACCGTAATTATACGTACTTCCAGCCTAATTGAGTATTACTTTAACCTATCCCATCCACGTATCTCGAACCTCCCACATATAGAGAGACCAGTCCAGGCCCCAACAGTGAGTTGACCATCAGTCCCCAGACAGTGACCAGGTCAGTCACCCCAGGCAGTGGATGACCAGTCTCGTCCCCCAAACAGTGAATGACCATCAGTCCCCGACAGTTGAGTGACCATCAGGTCCCCAGACAGACTAGGTCGAACAGAGTGGTAGCAGTCAGTGTCTACAGTCCAGGAACCAGCCCCCCAAACAGTCACCAGTCTCTTAACATTAGACTGGACAAACAGTATAAAAAACTAATTAAATAAATAAATAACGAGGATATTTATTATTAATAATACAATATTTTACAATATTTTTTATTCTGAAAATCGAAAATAATCTTGAGAAAGTACATTATTGACGCTGGTCAAAAGTGAGTACTCTTGAAGTACATACTGTACCCCAGTGGTAGTACCATACATGTAATGTACTACAAGTGGTAGTACAGTAACATGTACTGAACCACAAGTGGGTAGTATCGTAAACATGTACTGAACCACACAAGTGGTAGTACAGTACATGTACGTAACACAATTGGGTAGACAGTACATGTATACTGTACCACAAGTGGTAGTACAGTACATGTACTGTACCACAAGTGGTAGTACAGTACATGTACTGTACCACAAGTGGTAGTACAGTACATGTACTGTACCACAAGTGGTAGTACAGTACATGTACTGTACCACAAGTGGTAGTACCGTAACATGTACGTACCATAAGTGTAGTAAGTACATTACTGTACTCACAAGTGGTAGTACAGTACATGTACAGTACCACATGTGGGAGTAACAGTACATGTAATGTACCACAAGTGGTAGTACAGTACATGTACTGAACCTAAGTGGAAGTACAGTACAAGTACTGTACCACAAGTGGTAGTACAGTACATGTACTGACCACAAGTGGTAGTACAGTACATGTACTGGTAGCACATGTGGTAGTAATCATAACATGTACTTTACCACAAGTGTAGTACAGTACATGTACGTACCCAAGTGGTAGTACATACATGTACTGAACCACAAGTGTAGTACATAATGTACTGTAACCACAAGTGGTAGTTACAGTACATGTACTGTACCACAGGGTAGTACAGTACATGTACTGTACCACAAGTGGTAGTACAGTACATGTACTGACCATAAGTGTAGTACAGTACAATGTACTGTTCCACAATGTAGTACAGTACATGTACTGTAAACCACAAGTAGTGGTAGACAGTACATGTACTAGTACGGACAAGTGGTATACAGTACATGTACTGGTACCACAGTGGTAGTACAGTACATGTACTGTACCACAAGTGGTAGTACAGCACATGTACTGTACTACAATTGGTAGTCAGTACATGTTACTGTACCACAAGTGGTAGTACAGTACATTACTTGACCACAATGGTAGTAACAGTACAGGTACTGTACCACAGTGGAGTACAGTACAAGTACTGTACCATATGTAGTACAGTACATGTACTGTACCCACAAGTGGTAGTACAGTAACATGTACTGACCACAAGTGGTAGTACAGTACATGTACTTACCACAAGTGGTAGTACAGTACATGTACTGTTCCATAAGTGGTAGTAAGTATCATGGACTGTACCACAAGTGGTAGTACAGTACATGTTCTGTATTCAAGTGGTAGTAGAGTACATGTACTGTACTACAGTGGTAGTACAGTACATGTACTATACACAATTGGTAGTAGAGTACATGTACCTGTAACAACAAGTTGGTATACGTGGACGCATACAGATAAATATTGTAGAGGAAATAGACACAAGTGTGAGGAATGACACCATTAAGCTTAAAGTTGAAGACAGCAGCTGTCTGGACACAGCCAACAGCAGCTTGTCTGGCCCACAGCTCCAGACAGCAGGCTGTCTGGACACAGCCAACAGCAGCTGTCTGGACACAGCCAACAGCAGCTGTCTGGAGACAGCCAACAGCAGCTGTCTGGACACAGCCAACAGCAGCTGTCTGGAGACAGCCAACAGCAGCTGTCTGGAGACAGCCAACAGCACTGTCCCTGGACACAGCCAACAAGCAGCTGTCGGGACACAGATAACAGCATTCAGTCGAGCCAAGTACACTCAGTCGAGCCAAGGTGCACTCAGTCGAGCCAAGGTGCACTCAGTCGAGCCAAGGTGCACTCAGTCGAGCCAAGGTGCACTCAGTCGAGCCAAGGTGCACTCAGTCGAGCCAAGGTGCACTCAGTCGAGCCAAGGTGCACTCAGTCGAGCCAAGGGTGCACTCAGTCTAGCCAAGGTGCACTCCAGTCGAGCCATGTGCACTCAGGGTCGAGCCAGGTGCACGCGTCGAGCCAAGGTGCACTCAGCATCGAGCAAGGGGTGCACTCAGTCGAGCCAAGGTGCACTCCAGTCGAGCCAAGGTGCATCAGTCGATCCAAGGTGCATCATCGCCGAGCCCACGGGTGCACTCATCGAGCCAGTGCCACTCAGTCGAGCCAAGGTGCACCTCAGTCGAGCCATGGAGCACTCAGTCGAGCCAAGGTGCACTCAGTCGAGCCAAGGTGCACTCAGTAAATTAACCCTCAAAGCATCACAAATACAAACGAACATAAAAATTAAGCACAGAATTTCACATGTGGAAGACAGGAGCGAGGCTGCTACGCCAGGTGCCATGGTGCCACATGGCACCCCTTGACAGGCTGAGTGATGCCAGACGTGGCACCTGACACACTTATAGCAGGTTGGAGCAGTGCCTGCAGAGGAAACGAGAACTGAAGTTTGATAATGATTCTTAATATTATAACTTGGGCCACCAGATTATATTGTGTGGGTGGTGGCTTGTCTGCCACCCCTGCCACCCAGTGTTGTGTGGGTGGTGGCTTTCGTCCTGCCCCCTGCCACCCAGTGTTTGTGTGGGTGGTGGCTTGTCTGCCACCCTGCCACACAGTGTTTTGGGTGGTGGCTTGCCTGCCACCCAGTGTTGTGTGGGTGGTGGCTTGCCTGTCACCCAGTGTTGGGTGGGTGGTGGCTTGTCTGCCACCCCTGCCACCCAGTGTTGTGTGGGTGGTGGCTTGTCTGCCACCCCTGCCACCCAGTGTTGTGTGGGTGGTGGCTTGTCTGCCACCCCTGCCACACAGTGTTTGTGGGTGGTGGCTTGCCTGCCACCCAGTGTTGTGTGGGTGGTGGCTTGCCTGTCACCCAGTGTTGTGTGGGTGGTGGCTTGCCTGTCACCCAGTGTTGGGTGGGTGGTGGCTTGTCTGCCACCCCTGCCACCCAGTGTTGTGTGGGTGGTGGCTTGTCTGCCACCCCTGCCACCCAGTGTTGTGTGGGTGGTGGCTTGTCTGCCACCCCTGCCACACAGTGTTTGTGGGTGGTGGCTTGCCTGCCACCAGTGTTGTGTGGGTGGTGCTTGCCTGTCACCCAGTGTTGGGTGGGTGGTGGCTTGTCTGCCACCCCTGCCACACAGTGTTTGTGGGTGGTGGCTTGCCTGCCACCCAGTGTTGTGTGGGTGGTGGCTTGCCTGTCACCCAGTGTTGGGTGGGTGGTGGCTTGTCTGCCACCCCTGCCACCCAGTGTTGTGTGGGTGGTGGCTTGTCTGCCGCCCCTGCCTTAGAGTAGTTCACTTTTTGGCACAATCGTCTAGAGGTGGCATCTGCACTCTCAACAGAGTGCCACCTGCACTCCCAACAGTGCCACCAGTCTGCTGTTGGAACATCCACCCAATTATGGCACTGAGGGTGGAACTCAATAAATACTCAAATAAATAATTCCCGATAAATACTACATGGAGATGGGCATTTGTTTTAGTAGACAGAGAATTATGGGAGACCAGAGTAAGCGCATTCACTTACATGGTATAATACTGTACTCTTCTTGTTATATTATCAGAATAATGGGACGAGAGGCCGGCCTATAGCTCAGTGGTAGAGAGAATAGTGTGAGAGCACTAGTTATATATATATTTTAGGCCAATTGATGGCTAAATATGCGAGCCAGTTTTCTGTTTAGGGGAATATGGCTGAGTTGAGAGACGTGTGTACTTAAATGGTGTTCGTGTCCGTACAAGGAGGTCCATTGAAAGGCCAGTTGCAGGCGGTGATGCCGGAATCGTAGACTATGGTGATGGGACAGTCAAAGACGTGTAGAGTGAAGCGTTCCACCCACCTGTCCCAGTAACACTCGTAGAACTTATCACAGGTATCTGGGTGACGGAAGAGCCCTGCTCTTTCGCATACCTCGGGGCCCAGAGAGTCATCGAAGTCACGTCGTCCGCCGGGACCGAAGCGCTGGAACTTGCTGGCCGGGGTGAGTTTGGTCACCAGGGAAGGTCCCCCCGTCACGGTGGTCTTCCTGCTACCTGTAACACCACTCGTTCTTCCCGAAGAGCCTCCAGCTCCGGTGGTTTTACCTGAAGACCTCCCGCCCGAGCCTCCAGAACCGGTGGTTCTTCCTGAAGACGTCCCGCCAGAGCCTGAAGGATAAGAACCGCTGGGGCCGTCAGGACCCACACCTCCAGAACCACCCAAGCCTCCAAAACCACCCACGCCTCCAAAGCCACCCACGCCTCCAAAACCACCCACGCCTCCAACACCACCGAAGCCTCCAGCACTACCCACGTCACTAGCACCACCCACGCCTCCATGGCTGCCGGGTTTACCTCGTCCAGCTGATCCTCCCCTACCACCTGATCCACTACCACCAAATCCACCACTACCACCTAATCCACCACTACCACCTGATCCACTGCCACCAAATCCACCACTACCATCTGATCTACTGCCACCAAATCCACCACTACCATCTGAGCCACTGCCACCAAATCCACCACTACCACCTGATCCACTGCCGCCATATCCACCTGATCCACTACCTAATCCACTGCCACCAAATCCACCACTACCATCTGATCCACTCCCACCAAATCCACCACTACCACCTGATCCACTGCCGCCATATCCACCTGATCCACTACCTAATCCACTACCACCAAATCCTCCACTACCATCTGATCCACTGCCACCAAATCCACCACTACCACCTGATCCACTGCCGCCATATCCACCTGATCCACTACCTAATCCACTGCCACCAAATCCACCACTACCACCTGATCCACTGCCACTAAATCTACCACTACCACCTAATCCACTGCCACCACTACCACCTAATCCACTGCCACCAAATCCACTTGATCCACTGCCACCAAATCCACCTGACCCACCACTTGATCCACTGCCGCCATATCCCCCTAATCCACCACCTGATCCACTGCCCTCAAATCCACCACTTCCTCCTGATCCACCACGACCATCTGATCCAGAATTACCAAATCCACTTGTTCCTGCTGATCCACCAGTAGCTGATCCAGTGTTGACGGTAAAGTGATTCACACTAGCAGCGTTGCTGCTTCCTGATCCACCAGCAATTCCTGACCTACCTCTGCCTCCTGATCCACCTCTGCTTCCTGATCTACCAATACCTCCTGATCCACCTCTGCTTCCTGATCCACCAACACCTGATCCACCCCTCCCTCCTGATCCACTAACGCCTCCGTATCCACCTCTGCCTCCTGATCCACCAACATCTGATCCACCAACACCTGATCCACCAAAACCTCCTGATCCACCAACACCTCCTGATCCACCAACACCTCCTGATCCACCAACACCTCCTGATCCACCAACACCTCCTGATCCACCAACACCTCCTGATCCACCAACACCTCCTGATCCACCAACACCTCCTGATCCACCAACACCTCCTGATCCACCAACACCTCCATATCCACTTCTACCTCCTGATCCACTAACACTGCCAAGTCCCCCAAAACCTTCTGATTCACCATGACCACCTGATCCACCAAAACTACCTGATCCACCATGACCACCTGATCTACCACTGCTGCCACTTGATCCACTGCCTCCTGATCCACCGCCAATGCTAAAGTGGCTCACTCCACTAGGAGCACTGCTGCCCGCTGATCCACCGTGACCACTTGATCCATCACTAACACCAAAGTGACTCAGTCCACTTGTACCTCGTGATCCACTGATTCCACTTGATCCTCCACTACTTCCACTTGATCCACCAGGACCTCGGGATCCCCCACTGCTTCTACTTGATCCACCAGGACCTCGGGATCTCCCACTGCTTCCACTTGATCCACTGGTAAATCCAGTTACAGTACTTCCTCTATATTCACCTCCACTTGATCCACCACTGCCTCCTGATCCACCAAGACCACTTGATCCACCACTGCCTCCTGATCCACCACGACCACCTGATCCACCACTGCCTCCTGATCCACTACCAATACTAAAGTGGCTCACTCCACTAGCAGTTCCTCGTGATCCACCGCTGCCACTTGATTCACCACGACCTCGGGATCCACCTCTGCTTCCACTTGATCCACCACTACTTCCGCTTGATCCACCACTGCTTCCTGATCCATCAAGACCTACTGATCCACCACTGATTCCTGATCCATCAAGACCTACTGATCCACCACTGCCTCCATATCCACCACTGCTTCCACTTGATCCACCACGAGCTCGTGATCCACCACTGCTTCCTGATCCACCAAGACCACCTGATCCACCACCAACGGTAAAGTGACTCGCTCCACTAGCAGTTCCTCGTGATCCACCGCTGCCACTTGATCCACCACTAACACTAAAGTGGCTCACTCCACTTGTACCTAGTGATCCACTGCTTCCAAATCCTCCACTAATGCCACTTGATCCACTTATCCCTGATCCACCAGAACTTCCATTTTCACTGCTGTCGTCCGATCGACTGCCGCCAGATCCACCTGATCCACCACCTATGCTAAAGTGGCTCACTCCACTAAAACCGCTCCCCGCTGATCCACCAACTCCTGCTGATCCACCACTACCCGCTGATCCACCACTAATTCCAAAGTGGGTCACTCCACTTGTACCTCGTGATCCACTGCTTCCAAATCCTCCACTGGTGCCACTTGATCCACTGATCCCTGATCCACCAAAGTGGCTCACTCCATTAGAAGACACTCCAAATCCATCACTGCTGTCAATTGATCCACTTCCTCCATACCCACCTTGACCACCTGATCCAACAAAACCACCTGATCCACCGCTGCCTCCTGATCCACCACTGCTTCCACTTGATCCACCACGAGCTCGTGATCCACCACTGCTTCCTGATCCACCAAGAGCACCTGATCCACTACCAACGGTAAAGTGACTCACTCCACTAGCAGTTCCTGATCCACCACTGCTTCCAAATCCACCAAGACCAACTGATTCACCAAAGCCACCTGATCCACCACTGACTCCTGATCCACCACCAATACTAAAGTGGCTCACTCCACTAGCAGCTCCTCGTGATCCACTACTTCCACTTGATCCACCACGACCTCGGAATCCACCACTGTTTCCACTTGATCCACCACTACCTAGGGATCCACCACTGCTTCCACTTGATCCACTAGTAAATCCAGATCCAGTACTTCCTCTATATTCACCTCCACTTGATCCACCACTGCTTCCTGATCCACCAAGACCACCTGATCCACCAAGACCACCTGATCCACCAAGACCACCTGATCCACCAAGACCACCTGATCCACCACTGCCTCCATATCCACCACTGCTTCCTGATCCACCAAGACCATTTGATCCACCACGAACTCGTGATCCACCACGACCTCGTGATCCACTACTGCTTCCACCAGTTCCACCTGATCTAGTGCTTCCAGAGGCACCACTGCTCTCAAGTGATCCGCTTCCTGATCCACCACCAATACTGAAGTGGCTCACTCCACTTGTACTTCGTGATCCACTGCTTCCAAATCCTCCACTGGTGCCACTTGATCCACTTACCCCTGATCCACCAGTGGTTCCATATTCACTGCTGTCGTCTGATCCACTGCCACCAGATCCACCTGATCCACTACCTATGCTAAAGTGGCTTACTCCACTGGAACCCCTTCCACCTGATCCACTGCTTCCTGCTGATCCACCAGTTCCTGTTAATCCACCACTCCCTCCTGATCCACCACTAGTGCCAAAGTGGCTCACTCCACTTGACGTTCCTCGTGATCCACTGCTTCCAAAGGTACCACTGCTGCCACTTGATCCACTGATCCCTGATCCACCAAAGTGGCTCACTCCACTAGAAGAAACTCCAAATCCACCACTGCTGTCAACTGATCCACTGGCTCCATATCCACCAAGACCAACTGATCCACCAAGACCACCTAATCCATCTCCGCCTCCTGATCCACCACTACCACCTGATCCACCACCGCCTCCATATCCACCACTACCTCCTGATCCACCACTGCTTCCTGATTCACCAAAGCCACCTGATCCACCACTGCCGCCTGATCCACCACCTATACTAAAGTGGCTCACTCCACTAGCAGTTCCTCGTGATCCACTGCTGCCACTTGATCCACCACGACCTCGGGACCCACCACTGCTTCCTGATCCACCACGTCCACCTGATCCATCACTGCCTTCATATCCACCGCTGCTACCACTTGATCCACCACGACCTCGTGATCCACTACTGCTTCCATCACTTCCACCTGATCCAATGCTTCCAGAGGCACCACTGCTGTCAAGTGATCCGCTTCCTGATCCACCACCAATACTGAAGTGGCTCACTCCACTTGCACCTTGTGATCCACTGCTTCCAAATCCTCCACTGATGCCACTTGATCCACTGATCCCTGATCCACCAAAGTGGCTCACTCCACTAGAAGACACTCCAAATCCACCACTGCTGTCAACTGATCCACTTCCTCCATATCCACCATGACCACCTGATCCACCAAGACCACCTGATCCACCAAGACCACCTGATCCACCAAGACCACCTGATCCACCAAGACCACCTGATCCACCACGGCCTCGGGATCCACCACTGCTTCCACTTGATCCACTGGTAAATCCAGTTCCAGTACTTCCTCTATATTCACCTACACTTGATCCACCACTGCTTCCTGATCCACCAAGACCACCTGATCCACCACTGTGTCCTGATCCACCACCAATATTAAAGTGGCTCACTCCACTAGCAGTTCCTCGTGATCCACTGCTGCCACTTGATCCACCACGACCTTGGGATCCACCACTGTTTCCACTTGATCCACCACGACCTAGGGATCCATCACTGCTTCCACTTGATCCACTGGTAAATCTAGTTCCAGTACTTCCCCTATATTCACCTCCACTTGATCCACCACTGCTTCCTGATCCACCAAGATCACCTGATCCACCACTGCTTCCTGATCCACCAAGACCACCTGATCCACCACTGCTTCTTGATCCACCACTGCTTCTTGATCCACCACTGCCTCCATATCCACCACTGCTACCACTTGATCCACCACGAACTCGTGATCCACCACTGCTACCACTTGATCCACCACGACCTCGTGATCCACTACTTCTTCCATCACTTCCACCTGTTCCAGTGCTTCCAGAAGCACCACTGCTGTCAACTGATCCGCTTCCTGATCCACCACCAATACTGAAGTGGCTCACTCCACTTGTACCTCGTGATCCACTGCTTCCAAATACTCCACTTGTGCCACTTGATCCACTGTCCCCTGATTCACCAGTGGTTCCATATTCACTGCTGTCGTCTGATCCACTGCCTCCAGAGCCACCTGATCCACCACTAATGCCAAAGTGGCTCACTCCACTTGTACCTCGTGAGCCACTGCTGACACTTGATCCTCTTCCTCCTGATCCACCGCTCCCTGCTGATCCACTGCTAATACCAAAGGTGTCACGTGATCCACTAGCGGCAGCACTATCTGATCCGTCAGCTTTCGATCCTCTGACCTTGGTGGTGTGGCGGCCTCCGAGGGACTGGATGCTGCTGCCAGAGCTTCCAGAAGCCTCCGGACTGAAGGGGTTGAAGGCTTTGCCTCCTTCCGGAGGTTCATACAGGTACCCGGAGGCCGGAGAACCCGAAGACCCGGAGACCTGGCTTGTGGAAGCTGAAGAAAAGTGGGCAGCACCAGCTGAGACGCCTGAAGAACCAACTGAGTGACCTAAAGAACCAGCTGACAGTTTTGAAGAGCCAGAAGAGAAACGGCCTGAAGAACCAGCTGACAGTCCTGAAGAGAAATGGCCTGAAGAACCAGCTGACAGTCCTGAAGAGAAACGGCCTGAAGAACCAGCTGACAGTCCTGAAGAGAAATGGCCTGAAGAACCAGCTGACAGTCCTGAAGAACCACCTGACAGTCTTGAAGAACCAGAAGAGAAATGGCCTGAAAAACCAGCTGACAGTCCTGAAGAACCAGCTGACAATCCAGAAGAACCAGCTGACAATCCTGAAGAACCAGATGGCAGTCCTGAAGAACCAGCTGACAGTCCTGAAGAACCAGCTGACAATCCTGAAGAACCAGCTGACAATCCTGAAGAACCAGCTGACAATCCTGAAGAACCAGATGGCAGTCCTGAAGAACCAGCTGACAGTCCTGAAGAACCAGCAGAGAGCCCTAACGTTCCAGAAGAAAAATAGTCCGTGGAACCAGAAGCTTGGCCAGAAGAGGGGATTGAGGAACCAGAGAAGTGCCCCAGTGAACCATCTGAGAGACCAGCTGAGAGGCCAGCTGAACCAGGTGCAAGACTAGAAGAGCCAGATATATGGCTGAAAGAGGAGCCTGCAAAGCCAGAAGTTGAACCGAATGGGCTAGAAGGCTCCTCGTAGGCATACCCAGAGGTAGGCTTGACCTGAGTGGGTGTCGGAGTCGGCCTGAACCTCGGTGGTTCAGGCGAAGCTGGGGTTGAACCGATAGCGACAGTACTCGCAGGTGGACGCTGTGACCTGATCCTGGGGGTTGGAGTTGGGCGAGCTGGGGTTCTATAAGTGGGAGCGGAGGTTGGACGCGGCGACAACTGGGCTGATGGTTGAGTCACAAGAGCGAAGGGGTTAGCTGGAGTCTGGTACGAGTATCCGCTGGTTGAATCCTCTTCACTTGACGGTGATCCAGGAGGGAAGGATGGTGTTGTGGGACGTGGCGAAGATCCGGGGAAAGAAGACGATGTCCTCGACAGTCCCCCATTGGATGAACTCCCAGCCCTAACTGTGTTTGATGGAGAAGTGTAAGTAAAGCCTCCGGAAGTTGGGCGTGAGGGTGAGGCCGAAGACCCTGGTCGTGGGAAGCTATAGCCAATTTCATTGGACTCGTCAGAGCTCTCATCAGGGAATGCGCTGTGGGAATGTGAAGTGGCAGTCGGTCTGGGCTGAGAAATGCCTGGAACGAAGCCGCCAGTTGTCGTACTGGATGAGGAGAAACTGCCCTGGAATCCTGAGGAAGAAGCCTGGGCGTGAGATATCTTGGGAGGGAATGCCGCTGGAGCTGATGTGACTAGTGACGGTCTTGAGACGGAGACGGAGTGTGTTAAATCGAGGGAAGTGCTTGGCTGAGGATATGAGTAACCAGTACTAGAAGTACCCAAGCTTTGAGATGAGTCTGGAGCAGAGCTCCCAGTCGTGGGTCGGGCTACAGGTTCTGGAGAGAAGGAAATGGATGGTCTTCGAGAGGAAGGTCTGGAAGTATGGCTGAAAGGAGCAGCAGGTGCGGCAGCAGCGATTGACGACGGTGAATCTGTCTGTGAAGTGAAGGGACGACGGGAAGATGCGGGACGACGGGAAGATGCAGGACGACGGGAAGATGCAGGACGACGAGATGAGGGACGGAGAGACTGCTGTGGTTTCGAGTAATCGTATCCAGAGATGGCTGGCGCTGGTGAGCCGGGAAGAACATCAGCACTTGGAGCACTGTACTTATAAGCAGGTGCGGTGGTTACTGGTGTTCCTTGGCCGCTGTAACGTCCACTGCTGGAGATAGAGGCAGCTGAAGCTTGTAAGGTTTGTGAGTAATCGTGGCCCTGAGCAGCTTGATCGTCTGAGGAAGCTCCACGGCCACCAAACTGAGGTGAAGCTAAGCCATGTGTGTTAGTAGCACCACTGCTGCCACTCTGTTTCCCTCGCCCACGAGAATGTCCTCTTGATTTGGTGCCAGAGAATGTTGACTGTTCAGATGACTTGTACTCTCTGTAGGAGAGTCTCTCGTTACTTAGTTCAGCAGAGACGATGATACCTTTGTCCACGTCGTACACGCCCTTGCCTCCAATTGACATTTCGACAGAGCTACTGCAGTCTATGCAGCTTTCCTTGTTCCTCTCTTGAAGAGTTTGAGGCGCTACACCACCACTGACGATGGTCTTACCTCTGCCGAACCCTCCTCCAGCTATTGAGTCCACACGGACAGGAACAGCACCAGCAGCTACACCATCATACCTTCCCCGAGCTTCACCGCTCAGTCCACATGACCCCACCAGCCAAGGCCAGTTACAAATCCCATTAGCTTCGTCATAAGCAAGACCGAATGGGCACCTAAATTCATACTGCGTATAAGTGCCATTGCCATAGTAGTCTCTGCAGGCGAAGAACCAACGACAGTTCTCCGGGTCTGTGAAGTATCCTTCACCTGGACATACGAACTTCCTGCTGGGTACAGGGAAGATCTCAGAGGAGCCATCGCAGGGAGGTGCTGCTGAGGGCCAGGCACAGATCTCCCAGCGATCATCGAACACAAGACCATTCGGGCAGGAGTACTCGAACACGGTGAAGTCGTCGATATACTGGTTGAACTTGACGCACCGGTAAAACTGGGAGCAATCAGCAGGGTCCCGGTAATATCCCTGACGGGAACACTCGAACCGGGAGTCAGAGGCATCTCTGTTGAAGAGAGAAAACCTACATCAGTCTATGTGCTGAACAACTAGTGCTTCAAATTCTGCTGCCAATCAGATCACTGTAAATAAAGATATCACAATATGCAAAATAATCACTGCGGAAAAATAGTAAACTTCTCACAGCTCCTTGATAAAGTAAGAAATCACAAAAACGCTTGGAAATTCACTATTTTTTTTACAGCTGGGAATATAATATGTCATAAAGGGG